TGCACAAACCCCTAGTCCGGGTTGTGGCTCTGTTTACCGTAATCAATCTCCTAATTGGTCTGGGTGGCCCTGTTTACCAGAACCACTCTCCTCAGATCCTCTGGGAACATCAGTTTCCGGCCTGAAGATTTTACATTTTGTGTGCCAGGACTTGCGGCACATGACTTGCACACGTACAGTACATAGTTAGTGTTTTGAAAAGAATTAAACAACCAACAAAAACAAAGGAAAGAACAAAATAAAGGAAATTAATTAAAAAGCCACCTGAGTTTATTTATCATTGTGTTAAATCTTTTTGCCACTTTGTAAGGTACACCTTTCAACTTTGCTTTTGTGTTTAATCATTTGAAGAGTACCTGTGTTGCTATAGCATTTGCATGTATGTGACCTTATAGTGAGTCTTAACTGAGAAACCAAAGAATTGAACAGACTAAGAGATCATAAACCAGTGAGGCACTACACTTTGATGAGTGAATAATTCTAGCCAGACCAATGTATTACAAAAAAAAGCAGAACAAAAGATTGGCAACATGGAGAAGATACAGATAAATTTCTGTTGATATCGTGACTTGACAACTGTTCCTGGTATTGGAACTGCCCTTGCAAATATGATCATGGACCTGAGATGTGATTGGGGTAATGTGAGGCCCGAACTGCTCATGAGTCTTCCTCAATTTGTGAGCATGCCTACTTTGGTAGATTTTTTTCAATTTTCGACCCTACCTGCCATAATCTGAGGGACTTGGACCTGCAAGGACACAATCACCAAAATTAGCTCACCCAAAGCCCTCGATTTCAATGACCTCGTTTTCAATGACCTCACATTTTCCAAGTTCCGTCATGTGGGAGGGCACTCACCGTCGCCCACCAGTTAAAGTACCCAAGTTTGACGACCATTCATGTGGGTTTCCAGGGCAATCTTTCCGGTCCACTGATGACGGCATGTACCCATCACCACAGCAACTGACTAGTCACTGTCACTTGTTGCACCCATGTGCAACGCACTCTGGTTATGATGATGTCCTTCACCATTGGGTGGACGGGATGCTCCTACGTCCACTGAGATAAGTGGTCCTGTTTTTCCAAGGGGAGGGAGAGTGCATTCACCTCCAAGCAAGTTCCGCACTACTGATAACAATCACATTCAACGGCAAGAGCAGTTGGCAAGCATTCTTTGCTAAGTTTACTTCGTACGCCAGTGGATTCAGCTGGTCGGCCAAACAGAGAAAGAGTCATTTGTGTTGGTGCCTGGAGTCCAAGGCAAGTGAATTCTATGCCTTACTCATTGAGCGGGAACCTGACCTTGAGTATTTTGATCTGATCCAAAAATTGGAGAAGGGGCTTGAGTTACTCGACCTACCAGAGGCCACTTAAATGCAGTTCAACTATGCAAAGCAGTCTGCAGAGGAATCTATTCTTGATTGGGCGGACCGTGTTCTATACTTAGATACACGTGCATTCCGCGACCTGCCAGAAGTGCATGTTCAGAAGCTGGTGGTGCTGAAATTTTGTCAAGGCTGCTCGGACAGTGATGCTGGCCAAAATAAGAGCCCTTGCTACAAGTGTGGCAGGATGGGTCACTTCAAAAGGGATTGTCCTGGCGTGAAGTCAAGCAAAACGGGTCTCTTTCAAAAAAGGAAGATTCCCCAAACTCCAGCGGAGGTCGGAGAACGAGGCTGCTGAACTCAGGTTTTCTGGTAAATGAGAATTCACGGCATGTATTTATGACATAATCTTGAGTTCACACACCTGCCACTTGGCTACTGAGTTCCAAAGGCCTTTGCAATTACATATGTAGGCTTTGGGCCTCATTCTTCAATTTTGGGGGGAACTTTGTGAAAAATGAATGCTTTGAAAATGTGCCCACAGTGAAGAAAGTAGGCCTACTTTTCTGAAGAAAACACTTCTATATATTTGCAGTTTAATACTGGAATTTATCAACTTTGAAGAAATTCTTGCATCTATGTATGACGTAAATTTCATGACACCGAAATTGTTCACAGAGGTGGTCAGTAGCATGTATTTTGAAGGTTATAATATCATTATTTAACTGAATGAATTCAAAGTTTTTCAGCAAGACGTGTGGCAGTGATGCTTGAGGAAAGTCAAGGAAACATCAACGCATGGCACGTTGGAGGACTTGGACATGGGCTGGTGTAGTATCCTTGACCCTACTTTTAAACTGGAAATGAGTGGAGGAACATTGGGAAAAACCTCCCTGGCCATAAAACGTATGAGCAACATACATGTATTTTTCAATTGCCTTTTTGATTAATCACCTAGCAGTTTATTATGTTTATCTATTTTCCCAAACCAAAATTTACTGACCATCATGCCTCTTCGTGCATTATTTATAATTTTGTCATCTCAACACCGTCCTTTCATTACTACAGTGATTTGCTCAAGATCTGTACCGGTGATGAACGTGTACAGCTCAAGGCAGCGGCAGTTGTGATGAATAGAGAATGTTATTTAATGCACACCACATTATTTTAAAATTACATGTGCTCAATTCAACATGTATAGTTTTCATTTGAAGTTCAAGACCACATACATGTACGTGCTGGCCTCTTGCATTGAGCTTTGTAGTGGAGAAGTTTAAATTTTGGACTGATCTAGCTGTCTTGGAAAAATGGGCACTGCACAAGAGCGGAATGTTTGATGTTCACAAAATTGATGTCAAAATAGTCACAGAGTTCCTGAAAAACTCCTAAAGGCTCAGCTTACGAAAAAAGCACTGCAGAAATATTAGAAAAATGTTGCAGGAAGATTCCACAGCCCCCCCCGGCTCTTTTTATGGTTTAACTTGCAGTTGTAGTTTGTAGTGCTTGGTTTTTCTAGCTTTGGTTTCGGTTTTTTTTGGGGGGGGTGATCATAGTTTTGGTTTTGATACATGTACATCTAGAATGGTGTCCAAGTCCTTACTAATTCAGTTCCCTGCAACTTTTCCCTTGAAGATTCTTCATTTAGATTGAGTTTCTCTTCCTTCGTAGAGTGCCATTTTCGCAAGTTACATTTGCTAATTGAACACGTCCTATACTTCTCCTGCACGCAGGCAGACATTGATGCTGGACTCCACCTATGCACATAACGTGCAGCTGTGTAATGAACATGCATCTCATTCAGGTAAGAGATGACTGGATGGAGGTACGTACATGTAAGTCAAGACATGACATAATGCTCATGCATACATACTTAACACCTGCTAACCCTTCCGATTTAATCGCAACTAGGCAGCTGTACTGTGATGGCTTCATGCTCCACCCATGAAAGGGAAAAAAAAGAGGGGAAGAAATTCTTTGAAGGGGAAAGGGGGGCTGAATGGGGTGGCAAGCGGGAATCTTGTCATTGTGTGTAGTGGGGAGAGGGGGGAAAATAACCTTTCCCGTCCCCTCTTGGGTCAGGAAGATCAGGCATAAATTGAATACTGTATCTGCCTCAGCTGGAAACCTTTCCATATTTAAGGCACGTGCAGGCACGTTCAAAGTGGCTAAACCTAAAATTCCCCATGAAACACAACAAGGACAACCCAAACAAGACAGCAGTGTTGTAGCTTCTCCCTCATGGAGAAGACAGGGAAAAAAAGAATTGGAAACAAAAAGAAAAAAGAAAAATCAAAAATATTATTTTATGCTAGTTAAAAGCTTTCTTTTTCTTTTTAAACCCTGAAATACTAAAAAGAGGTTTATCTCTCAAATTTGGTGGGAGTTGATAAAAAAGGCTGAGAACGATCAAAAGCGGCAAATTTATAACCGTCAGTGCGAACATGCATATGAGAGAGTTCGAAAGTACCAAACATGACGCGAATCAGCAGAAAAAACTGAAAAGACTGAACATCAAATACCAAAAGGCACGTGGAAACAAAAAAGATTGGCAAAATACCTATAGGGATTATATAGGGACATTAGATCTAACAGCTTAAAACAAATTAAAAGAAATAAAACATCTAAAAATTAATATTAAATCATTAAAAAATATTTCAAACCCAACTAAGGTCCTTGAAACGCTGCTTGATGTTTTTTGAAAATCCAGAAATACTAAAAAGTAGCTGATCACGCAAATCAGGAGGAATCTAATCAAAATAGGCTGGAAAACGATTAAACACAGTAAATTTAAAACTATCAGTGCGAGCATATGCGTGAGAGAATTTGAGATTATCAGTATGACGTGAGTTGATAGAAATAAACTGAAAAGGGTCAACATCGCAAATACCATAAAGGCACTTGGAAGCAAATTAGATGGCAAGATACCTATATCTGTAATGTAGTGACATAAGATGTAATATCTTAAGACGAGCACCATACGCAAGCTCCCCCCGTGGTGCAGGAATACAGACACATGCCAAACGTCTGAGTTTTTTCCAAAGAATTTATGTGGCTGATTTGGTGTGGCAACCAAGCAGGAAACCTGTACTCAAGAATAGGACGACAAAGGGTGGAATAGAGATTCACAAGAATGTTATGATGATCATTACAGTGAACCAGCCTCCTAATTAAACCAAAACAACCGAGAGGCTCTTGACGACACAAGTTTAACATGTTCCCCCCATTTAAGGTCAGAGGAGATCATGACACCAAGATACTTGTAACTGTAGACGACCTCCAGGGGTTTGTTGAGTATGTTTAATATCAGACTGATCAGGTCTGCCAGTATTTGCTTCTTCTGGTCAACCTCATGACCTTACACTTGTCGGAATTAAGAACCATTTTATTTTTAGTACATCACCTTGTAATATTACTGCTTGGCACAAAAGACTGAGGTGCTAGGCATTACACTCATTTTTTCACTCTCAATAGTGGAGATAATCCAGCCTTGTTTTGAAACGGTATACCACGGTTTTGGGCATTTAGTGTGAGCGGATTACCACTGGGGACAAAAGCGCTCCACCACCGCAGTGACGAGCCACACAGCACCGCTACATGCTAATCTGGCGTCTATATATTGAAAAGAGGTCAGCAGTGCACTTTGCCAGGCTCATGAACAAAAGAAAGTTATTTAACACCGCACAATCTTTTTACGAGGCCGCAGGCCTGGCTGAAATACTCGGGCATCAATAGATTTTGTCTGTCAGGCTACAGTGGCCACCAGACAGTAATTCATGTGGGTGTAAACGTCCATTAATTAAAATGATGAATTTTTGAAAGCTGAAAATCTTGAAATTCGCCTGTATGTGTGCACTGTATTTTTCAAACCACCTGGCAGCATGTGGTTAAGACTCAGACATTCAGTCCGATTTTATTATCTTTTTTTTTACAGCAAAACACTTTGCATTGGAGTCTAAAACACAAGTTTTAAGTATAGACAACTTTATTTTGAGATTTAAACCTCTGTTTTTGAGATGTTACAGTTGCCATTTACAAATTAACAAAAGTAGAATACTAATAACTCCATGTAATGTTGGGTGCATTGTTAAGAAAAACTATTGCAATAAACAAGGTTTTACTTTTTTGTAAACCTGATATGGGGTGTAGTTGTTTTCGGGTAGAGAGAAAAAAGTAAACTCTAGTTTATCCAACGATATATGTTTTTCAGAAGGCCAGATACCTTTAACTTGGCCTGATTTGTTGAAATATATCCAGTAACCAAAAACCCGGGCAGGAGCTGTCAGTATGATGTAGTCCAAATGTCTTAATGGCTTTTGTGTAAATGGAGATCGTTATTTCCCAGAATTTTCCTGTCTGAACCAACCCACAGACTAGATACATGTAGCCATCCGACTTCTTATAACAACTCAGTTTGCAAAGCTAGACCATTTTATATTTTTTCATCAGTGGGAGGACGGAGCCTTCTAATGAGGAAATTTGGAATAAATACCTGAAGAGAAGATGGATCAGGTTCAACAAGAGGCCAGACTATATAACCGTAGCTAGAGAAATTATAGTGGACAACAACCTAAAAGGAAAGTTCACTGAACTATACATTTCCAAGTGACTGAGAGCATTGTGGGAGAAATGGGTTAAATTGAACAAATTCCCGTCCCCATCAGCAATCAAGTAAATTTTCTTTGAACCATTTGTCCTTCTTGGGAAAGAGACAGCTCCAAAACAAATACTTGACACATCATCAAGTACTGTTGTTGAGGCAATGAATTTGACAACCGTGTCCGAAGAGGCTGAAACTGATGTTCCAGCGAGACCAAGAATTAATCCCCTGGATGAAGTAGGACCACGCCAGCAGTTCAGGAGAACTGGTACAAGATTAGATGAATCGAGAGTAGAAGCTGCAGAAAATGGAGTATCCCAACAGTTACTCGGTTTTTGTTATATAAAGAGAACTATGTTAGCAACAGAAAAATTGCTGAAGTCGGCATAAGGCTTTTTACAGGATCCTCACTTGTGAATGAGATGTCTGAAAACAAAGGACTCTATTTCCTATCATCATACAACTTAGGGAGAACTGCCTACACCAATCTCAGACGGGACTTTAAAGAGCATGTCAATCTACCCACTCATTATAAACTGATGGAGAGAAACGCTCTATAATACCTGAAGTGAGCCGCTTCTGTTTAGGAGATTATGAAGGTGTCACAGCCTCTCTTAGCAATCTTGTAGTAATCAGATGACCAGACTGATTGAAGCTGAACCTGATGCTCCATCAGGAGACTATAAGGTTATCTGCAAAGATGGACTAGATGGATCCGGGTGTCATGCTATCTATCAATAGCCAGGTCAAGCTCAAACGTACAATATGATACTCTATATGTGGACACCACTTGAAATCATCAAAGAAGACGGTGCTTCTGCAGGGACGTCATCACATGCATCAGGTTATTTTAATAAACCCCTTGATCAGAATAAATATATTAAATCATTCCATTTATTTTAAGTTTGTGTACATTTATTTTTGCAGGACTGTTTTCTGATTAGTCACCATTGTAATGTGAAGATCATTTCATGAAACGTTGATTTTTTCAAACGGGGCTTGCAGTATGGAAAGAGAAATGTCCAAATAGTCCCAATGCTGCTGTGCCTTTGTTCTTCATCAAAGGCAAAGAAGATCGACAACTCCTTGAATCAGTTATTCCTGCCGTAGAAGTAGAAAAGTTGGATTTGTCTATTAATTGTGTTGAAATCACCGTCTCTGACAAATCATACCACTTCTTGTTTGAGTTTAATCTCACTGTGGTTGATCAATACCAGTGTATGAAGCGGCCTTTGGGTTGTCAAAAGGCCACCTCTGCACCAACTCTAGCTTGCTTTCATCTCAAGCACTCTACTGGGGACTAAAAGCAGCAATGAGTCTTGAGTCAGGGAATATCAGATTCTTGGATGTCAACCACTGCACTGTCTCACGTTTAAAAGATTTTATTTTTCGGAGGCCTTGTCTGATTGCACCCCCGTGTTGTTCATGTGCAGACGTCACTTTGGTGTGATTGATGGATCTGTGCAATCATTGGATCCTGTGCTGCTATCAGTTGATCGATATAAAATTTGTTGATCCTATTGCTGTCACTCGTAAAAGTATTATGTCCTGATCTTTTCTTTCCAATTCAGGGTTATGGAAAACTTGCAGAAGTCTGGGATTTTGACACAGATCAGTCCGTTGACCAGATGTTTGAGACCATCCATCATTCAGGTGATGTTAATTAAACTATCGTTAACCAAAGTCATCACTCCAACTTGTTCTAAGTGTACCCACCTTAGCTTAGCTTTCAACCATTAGGAAGTTAGACATGCATTTATATCTTAAGCTGGTTGTCAAAGTTTATTGAGAGTGTAAAAAAGGTTGGCAAAGTTTTGACGGTTGGACCTCATCAAATTCAAAACCAGAGATGGACTGACATGTTTCAGTCAAAGCAGAAGATAAGCTCGATCTTTCACTGGTGAAGTTGTAATATTACTGGCACATTTTATCCAGTTGTTTTACAGCAAAATGCTGTGTTCCTCATTTGCCTTTCCCAACCAGGGTTCACTGTTGTTGCCTTTTGTGGTTCTGTTTTCTTATTTCAAGTCATTGTGAATCTCCGACTAGAAGAGTGATCATCTATATTACATTTCTGTAAGTATTGTAGTTAAAAGACGCATCCATTATGCTTTCAGTACAAGCTTGGATCGAGGCAAATGATGAGGAAGTACATGTATCTTGTTCATGGATCCAGTGTGAACCAGCTGGTGGACTTGAGCGTCAAATCTTCCAGGCATACGTAACCAATCCTAGCTTTAGTCTCGGCAACTTGAACCAGCTGATGGATGTGAGAGTATAACCATCATGGCTCTAATCTCTGTAATGGCTGGACTTCAGCCTCAAACCATCCAGACTTGAGTGACCAGTCCAAGTACTTGAGCTGCTTACGAGACTTAAGTAAATTTGATCCTCCAACAATCCCGCTTGAGTGACCAACCCTAGCTCTAGTCTCAGCAACATGAACCAGCTGGTGGACTTGAGTCTCAAAACATCCAGGCTTGAATGACCACTCGTAACTCAAAGTTACAGCAGAATGAACTAGCAGATGGACTTAAGCCTCAAACCATCCAGGATTAGTGACCAATCCTTGCTTCAGTTGGAGCAATATGAACAAGCAGGTGGACTTGAGCTTCATACCATCCAGCATTGAATGACCGACCTTAGCTCTAGTCTCAGCAATGTGAACAACGAGGTGGACTCGAGCCTCAAACCATCCAGTTATGATCTGAGTAACCAGTTAAGCTTTTGAGCCTCTTACGAGACGTTAAGGGAGTTGAAGCTTCAAACCATCTAAGCCTGAGTGGCCTAAGCTCTGGTCTCAGCATCATGAACCAGCAAGTTGGATTGAGCCTCAATGATCCTCGAGGCTTGAGTGTCCGGTCCTAGTTCTTGAGCTTTTTACGAGACTTGAGTGAATTTGAACCTCAGACCATTGAAGCTTCAATCACAAACCCTATCTCTAGTCTCATAAACGGCTGGACTTAAACGTCAAACCATCCAGGCTTGATTGACTAACCCTGGGTCTACTCTCAGCAGTATGAACCCATCAAGTGGGTTCAATCAATTAAAGAGCCTCAATCTTTCCAGGATTGAGTGATCAATCTTTGCTCTAGTCTCATCAACATGAACCATCAGGTGGACCTGAGCCTCAAACAGTCCAAGATTGAGTGTTCAATCCTTGTGCTGGTCTCAGCTACATGAACCAGCAGGTGGACTTGAGCCTCTAACAACCAAGGATTGAGTGACCAATCCTTGCTCTGGTCTGATCAACAATTGGACTTGAGCCTCTAACCATCCAGGATGAGTGACAAATCCTTGCTCTGGTCTTATCAACATGAACCAGCAAGTGGACTTGAGCCTCTAACCACCCAGGATTGGGTAACCAATCCTTGCTTTAGTCTCATTAACAATAACCATCAGGTGGATTTGAGCCTCAAACCTTCCAGGATTTAGTGATCAATCCTTGAGCTGATCTCAGCTCCATGAACCAGTTGGTGGGTTTTGAGCCTCAAACAATCTAGGCTTGAGTGACCAGTCCCAGCTCTTGAGCCTCTTAACAGGCTTGAGTTTAACTCAAGCCTGAAACAATGCACTGCAGGTTTGAGTGATCATTCCTAGCTTTGGCTTTAGCAACAAAAGAAGCAGGTAGAAGTGAGCCTGACACCATCCAGGATTGAGTGACCAATCCTAACTGTAGTCTCAGTAATATCATGCGTAGTAGTTAGGGCAGGCGACCATTTAGACCTGGTTTGAAAAGGGACCCCGGTAGCCCACTCGGTATTCAGCTTACTCCAGGCCGGTATCAGGCCTGTCTGTACGTCGGCATTTCAAAGTCTCTGACGGAAGGCTTCCCTTCCACAGATGAATGGGGGTCTAAGCGGATTAGTGTAAACAAAGTTCCTTGATCGCGGTGACAAACGCGTAGTGGCATCCCTCGTTTTCCAAAGCTGGTGTCCGCTATTACATGTTGTCATAGTATTGGCCATCTTGAGAAAACTCATCGTACCAAATTTCCTTTACTTTGTTAAAACAGGGGAAATCCGAGGCGAACTGGCTCCCAGCTTCGGTTACGCGTCGGTGTTATATGCAGCTTTAGCAACTTCCAAAATCAAGGGGTGTTTTGCTACGAGATTTTGAATATGTACTTCACATTTCAAACCCATTTGAAGATTTTTATGAAATAAAATACTCACATTTTTCTTTCCTCATATTTTTATTTTGGAATGACAACTGTTTACACCAATCATTCAGAGTTTTCCAATTTATTGAATATGAATAAAATGACAACACTATCACAAATGGTACAGTCTGAGAGACGTGCACGATGCCAAGCGTATTTTACACGTACATGTAACCAGTGGGCTTGGTGGACAGCCACCCAGCCCGCCCCCGTACGTACGTGGAGGCTAGCGGACAGCAGGGGGCCAGCGCTGCTTGGCTGGCCGGGCGTGCTGTAGTGCTAGATGCTGGCTGTGCCAATGACCGGGCCGTTGTACTTAATATTACATGTACGTTGCGTCCACATGTTTGAATGTCAACCCTAACCAACCCCAACTTGCCAAAATCAAACACCACAATCTGTTTCTGTTGAATATTGTTTGATTGGGTCTACTTGAGCCTTTGCAAATTTGTATGGGCTTGTATGGGCTTGTATGATGCCCCTACTGTATACTTGGCCAGTATAGGGCCGGTTTGGCTTCGTACGTGTACATCTGAAGCACGTGGCTGTCTGCCCAGCCAGCTATACAGGCGCTCAACGTTTATGGTGCGATGGGCATGCACAAATATGCATGGCGTGAGTCAAGAGCTGGGTGGGCCGGCCTCGGGCTGTACCCGTTGAGAAGGTGCTCGTTGCCGGGCCGCGCGATGTAAAGAATTCCATATTTCACCGCCACCTGACG